TGGTGTGTGGAAGGTGTGCGGAAGAGGGGGTAGTCTTATACGGCGAGTATATAACAAACTCTGTATTTTGAGTGGAAATGTTAGGGGGTCGTCTTATATGCCCAGTCGTCTTATACGCCGGCAAATACGGTATATATATATTTTTTATTTATTTATTTATTTATTTTTTAACATAAAAGATTTTTTTAAAGATGGAGAGGGAAATGGAAGCAGAGAGACGATCATGGTTCACAGAAGCTGAGCTGGGTGCAGAAAGGACCTGCAGGAGGACTCTGGCCTGAGGGAGGCCCCCACAGGAAGGGGGTGGGCGGCCTTGGGCCAGCTCTCCAATGGCCCAGGCCCAGGGAAAACCAACAGGAGGCCGGCCCTGCAGCCCGCTTTCCCCACCATCCCACACCACCCTCTCCTCCTGCCCCAGGAGCTGACCAGACTCCAGCTTTCAACAGGGCTCAGCACAACAGGTTTTTGCCCCAAAATTTGAGTGCTAAAATTTCCCAGCATGGGTCAGAGAACGTATCCTGTTCAACTGTGAATTTTATAGAAGATAAGAGTTGTTCATGTCATAGAATCCGTTCTTCCTCTCTGCCCCAACCCTTGAAGGTGGGCTAGATTGTCCCTGCTCCCCAGAGGCCACTGTCAAGGCCAAAGAAGGGAGGAACCCAAAATCTTGTGAGGTCCCTTCTGCCTCCAGGGGCTTCAGCTGAGCAGTCTCCCTCCATGCCAAGCCCTATGTCGGGTGCTTGACACACATTACTCTCTGGTTCATCCTATCTCTATGAAGGGACCGCTGGTCTCATTTTGTAACCAAGGAAATTTAGGCTCAAATGTTAGGAAACTCGTCCAAGGTCCCAAGTCCCCTGCAACCTACCTAGGCCCCCTGGTCTCCTAACTGAGGGCTGTCCTACCCCTACCAGATGCCCTGGGCAGGGACCTGGGGTCCCCAAAGCAGGAAAAGGCAGCTTCTCAGTCATCCTCACGAGCCCTGCAAGAATCTAATCAGCCTGGTGGGGCACAGGAGTTCCCTGTAGGAGGAACAAGTCTGTGGACCCAGGTGCCTAGCAGGGGCCTGGCAGAACAGGAGCATACGGCCACAGAGCCCGCTTGCTGGCTGGCATATGGAAGGCAAGCCGTTGCCCTGCACCCAGAGGGGACCAGCCTCCGCAGAAGAGGCAAGTTCAGGCCCCACCTGCCCAGCCGCTGGAAAGCACCCTGATCTGCCAAGCCCCACAGCAGTGCTGGTGAGGCCCGCAGGCCCTCGGTGGAGGCAGACGCCCTCCTAGCAGGAGGCCCTTCGAAGCGCCAGTGGGAACTAAAGAAATGAAGGGGCTGCAACCTTGCAGCTTGGGAGACCCCAGGAAGCCAGGACCGCGGGTCCAGCAGGTCCCAGATCTCTGTGTCTCCCTGCTCGCAGCAGACGGACCAACTCAGCTCTGAGGTATCTGAGAAGAGAACAGCTTCTGTGGCCTTCTTTCCAGAGGACACTGCTAACAGATGGTTCCACTGTCACCCGCGACTGGCCTTAAACCGCCCACTGCTCTGCCCTCCCAAGTTGGTAGCTCAGGTGTGTGACCCGATAAATCTCAGCGGTTCTGTGACTTGTCTGTTCTCTTCACAGCCTCAGGCCCTGAGGGGATGCCCAGTGCTGGGGAGGAGGAGGGAGGGAGGGAGGTGGCTGTGGCAAACTTCCAGCTGTGGCCCTGGGGGACCGCCACAGTCACACACCCTCTACTTCCTCCTGCCTCAGGGAGGCTCCAGGACTCCTCCTGGGAGCAGAGTCAAAGGCACACAGGACAGGGAGGCGTCCTGGCTCCAGAACCGCGGGCGCCTCTGCTTCACCCCCCACCTCCCTTAATGCTCCCGCTTAGGATGTTAGTGCTTCTACGGGTGCTGTCAGTATTGCAGGGACAGAGCTACAGCGGCTAAGTGCTAGGCGGAGCTAGGTTACAAGGACAGGAAAAGGCTTTACTTACAACGAAGCTGAACTGTGGAGGAGACAAGGAAAAAGCCAGGAGTTAATAATGTCAGGCCAGGGGAAGTCCTGAAGCCAGCCAGGCTCCTGGCTGTGCCAGCGAGTCTGCTCAGGGCCGCACCGCCACCTCCTCATCTCACCCCAAGTGCAAGCGTCCCCGTGCATCCCTCACCCTAACCGTTCAAGCCACTGGGGGTGTGGGATGGACGGGCAGGGCGGGAAATTCTGCAACTTCCCAGCCCAGCGTCCAGGACCCAGGGGTCACCCTGAGCCGGCCAAGCCTCTAGGTCACAGTACAAAGCCCAAGAGGTTAGGACACTCCCCAAATATCGAGGCAGCCCATGGCCGGAGGGGCTTGAGCTGGCCTTTGACCAATGCCAGGTCACACCTGCCTTGGCCCAGGCCCATGCTGCTCCTAGCAGCCTAGGGGGCATCCTGGAGCCTCCGGCCACGCAGCCCGGCTCTAGCAAAGCTCGGCCTGGGACATGATCTCCCTCACCTTGGGATCCACGCGCAGGGGAGTGTTGCGCTTAATGAAGGATTTCATGACGCTGCTGTGGGAGGCTGAGGTCGGGGTCATGAGCATCTGGTTCCTCTGCACGGTATGCATGAAGGTCCGGAGGGGCCGTACCACCTGCAGAAGGGACCAGGGTCAGGACTCATGGGTGGGGCAGGGGCACCAAAGGGAGGGCAGATGCCCACTCACCTTGCTGGCTGGACAGGGAGGGGAAGGGGTCTTGCTCCTGGGGGGCTGCAGCTCCTCGTCCTCCAGCTGCTGCTCCTCATCCAGCTCACTCACAGCCTGCTTGTAGCTGCGCTTCCTCCTGCAGGGGTGCGGGTGGCAGCAGCATCACAGGCCTGACCCCGGGGGATCCCCTCCAGAGCTCCAGCCACACCCCATAAAAGGTCGCTCCTATGAACAAAACAGGGCCCAGCCCATAGGACTCGAGACAGCAGAGGTCGGGTCTCCCTGACCAGTCAGAGGAAGGGAAGTGACCAGTCCAAGGTCCCATGACCAGGAGGACACAGAAGGATGGGGTCTTGGATCCAGTCGCTCACTCCCGGGCCAGGCTCATCCACAGCACGAAGCTACCTCCTCATTAAGTCTGAGCGCCAGGCCCCACCCTTGCAGAGGAAACGGAGGCCTCTGACCTCATGCCCACCTCCCCGAGCAAGCACTTGAGGTTCATGCCCCTCTGAGCCCCTTGGAATAGCGACCTGCACACACCTTCCCAAAAACAAACCTGACACTCTGGGGCGGCTCCTTGGGGCCATCTGCTTGGTTGGTCTTGACCTCTGTGAAGAGAGCAATTTCAGTGAGGCTGCAGGGACAGCATGGAGAGGTCAGGGGAAGGTGTCCACCGGCAGCAGCCACAGCCGGGGCAAAGCTCTCTTCCTGGGAGACCCCAGGATGGCCAGTGGCAGGGGCATCAGCCTTAGCACCGACTGGCTGTGACAGAGTCCAGCATGCTATCCCCAGCCCATAAACCCCTTACCCTCATGCCTGGCCTCTGTGATGGGAACAGCAGGACAGTCCCGGGGTGGCCCCAAACACCTCTAACAGAGAGCTGGGGGTGCCCGTCAGGAGCAGAAGCCGCAAGCTCTGACAGACCCCTTAATGGGCTTTAAAAACCCACTCCTCCCGGCCCTTTCAACTGGAGCCAGAGTGACAGGAGGGCAGGGCTCCTCGGCAGAGTCCACAGGGGGGTGTGGGGTCAGTACATTTTGTTTCACTGCCAGGAGAAAGCACCAATCTCTCCCCTGACACTCTTTGACACTCTTTATTCCAAAAAAGTCCTTGCAGCTCCCCTGGGAGCTATGAGGCTGGTATGGCCGCTGTCCCTGATCCAGGGTCGCTGGGGAAGCCATGTTCAATACCTCACAGCTACAGTGTTCTTCCCACCAGAGAGATATGAGCCGGACCCCAGGGCACCTCTGGCAGCCTGGGGATGCCAGATCCCAGAGACCACAGCTCTCCTGTTCTCTGTAGTCAGGACACCCACAAAGGTGAGAAGCCAGAGGCAGACAAAATAAGAGGCCAGGTGTTCAGACCCCAGTGTATAATTCCTCCTGCTGCCTCCTGGAATGGGGCTCAAGGCCTTTACCTGGCACATTCACATTAATGCCCCAATTCAGGCCTTTCCTCTGCCCTCCCCCTGCTCCCTACCCCAAACCAGCCATGGCCACTCCCACCGCACTGGGCAGCAGCTCCAGCCAAACAAAAGGTGGGAGATGGAACGCAGAAGACATCTGCGCACCCCTGGGTCTCACTTACCTTCAGACTATCAGTCCAGAGAATGGGGCTTCCCTCTGCCCCAACGAAAGTCAGGCCGAGGCCCCAAGGCCCACATGGCCCTGGGGATCTGCATGCAGCAGGCCAGGAAGACTCACCCTGCTGCCCTTCAGAGGGCGTTTCCTGGCCACGAGCCTCAGGGTGCGGGCCGGGCGTGCTAACGGCGATCTTGGTGGCACTGTGGGGCCACAAGGTACTCGTGTCGTTCTTGGGGACCTGGGGGGAAGAACCAAGGTCTTAGGGGTCTGCATCTGGGACTCACAGGGGCGAGCACAAGCCCCGAAGCCCTCAAGCCCTTCCCTCCCTGGCCGCCCACCTTACCTCCGGCTCAGCTGCCTCCACAAGCTCAGCCTCCTCGCTGGGCTCCTTCTGCTTCGGGCTGAAAGCAGAGCAGGAGACACTGTGGGCCCCGCCCAGTCCAAATCAGCCCCACAAAAGCCCCTCCCCCAACTCCTGGGGTAGAGCCCCACGAGGGCTCCACGTCAGATGCCCCGGCCTGGGGTACCAACCCACAGCACAGGCAGGACAGAGGGACAGCAGCCAGAACCAGTGGCTCCCTGCAGCGTCTGCTGCCTGGGCTGTCAGCTTCTGAATCTGGCTTCATTTCACCCCAGTCGGGGCCTTGGTTTGGGATTTGAGCTCTTTCCCAGCTCTGCCTCAACCCTTGGGCCTGGGTGAGCCATGTCTCTTTTCAGCAGCTCTGTCTCCCCATCCCAAGCACCTATCCTCTGCTCCAAAACGAAGGTGTGGGCTTTTAGTAATGGCAGGATATGGCCTCTAGGACAAGGAGTGCTGGCCCAAAACAGCGTTGGGTGTAATTCTGAAGTGGGGGGCACCCTCAGCCCTCATTCCACACACCCCAATTTGAATATGGCTCCTCACAGCTGCACTAGCTCATCCACAGGCCTTTGGATCTGATCACCTATGGAGCCCACATCACAGGATAAGGCTTAGAGGGGTCAAGGCCAGGACAGGGCTGACAAGTGATGACCTAACACCCGTTTCGATCGCTACCTGGTTAGACTGGGACAGGGCACAGGGCTGCAGCAGTGGGCAGCCCACAGGCAGTTCCCAGGAGGAAGAAAATCTCGGGCATAGGAAATGCCTTCGTCCTGGGGCAACCCTGCACAACCTGGCCCCAATGTGCCCTGCCCACCCCTGGGAAGGTCCCCAAGTCCTGGAATTGAACTTACCTGACTTTCTGGGGCACCTCAATATTCAGGAGCCTCTCCAGGTAACTGTGACCTGAGGGGAAAACAAAGGAACAAAAGATGACCTTGGAAACCAGCCAGGAACCACTCTAAGAGGTCCAGGGGACCAGGCTCTGGTGGAGGCTTGGCCACTCCTAGTCCGCAGCAAGACCCTCTCCGCCTCAGAGACCCACCCCTTCACCAGACAGATCCTCTCCTGCTCAGAGACCCCTCTCTTGACAGATGGATCCTCTCCATCCTCATGAGACAGAAATGTCCAGTTTTACTTACGAATGTCCATGATGGAGTACAAAGTAGTCACTTTATAAATGTTAAACTGAAGTACATGTCTTTCTGAGATTCTGTGCGATAAAACAGGAAGTATGAAGAATGCCTAAGTCTCTGCAAAGAGCACTCATGTGTGAGTTCCCAGCTAAACAAACCACTCTTGTCCTGAAACACTGTTTTTAACTGAAGGGACAAATGACGAGCTGTGGTTATTCAAGGTTGGGTATTTGGCAGACGTTTTCTTAAAAATGAACAACGTGAGCCTGTCACTTAAAGCAACTAACAGTGTTTGTTGCCAATAATAAAAAAATTAAGCCAAAAGAAAGATAAATAAAGTCAAAAATAGAATTTTGGAAAACAGGTATCCACCACGAGCTTCATAGTTTCCTAATACCTAAAGATTTTTCGATGAGACCAGAACTGTCTCCCTCCTTACCCTCTACCTTCCACCTCAAGGTGGAGAGCCCTCGGCTTGGAGTCTTGGAGTCGGACAGGCTTAGGTCGAATGCAAATAAATCAGAGGGCTGAGGGGGAGGAGCAATCAGAGCGGCGGCGTAAGTGTTGCAGACCAGGATCTCAGACCCAAAAGCACAAAAGGGCCTCTAGAGTCTCTCCTCCCTCTGGAGCGCCAGGCTTGCCCACCCCGTGCGGCCTCTTCCCAGGGTCAGAGTCAGGCCTGAGGAAATCTCCAAGGCAGGTCAGAACCGTCCTGGCCCTTCTGAGAATCCCAAAATGGACAGTGTGCCAGACCGCGCGTGCCCCAGATTTTATGTCCCTGAGCCCCATGGCCCAGAGCAAGCCCTGCCCCAGGCGGGAAAGAAACCTGCCTGACTGGGCCCGCCCCGGGGCTCTCCACCAGGCCTCCTCAGCAAGCGGCTGCCAGCTCAGAAACGACGAAACACGTGGGGCTCAAGCCCCAGCTGCCCAGTTTACAGACTCGGGTGACCTCCTTAAGCCTCAGTTCCTTCCTCTGTCTAACAGGCTAACAGTGCTGCTGCAAGGACCAAATGAGATAAACTTGACTTTTACCAATCTTAATGTACCAGGCAGATGTCAACTACAATTTTAATACACATTAATGTAAAACCTGGCCTGTCCTCTCCATCAATACCACTGCCTCTCCGTCCTCTGGCTGGACCTCTATAGCAGCCTGTTCCCTGGTCTCCCTGCTTCCTTCTCTCCTGGCCATTTTTCACAGTGCCAGGAACCTCCCCACAACAATCAAGGGACCACATCCTCCACACTAGCAGGATAAGCCCACGCCCCTTGTGTGACCCATGAGCCCCAGATACCCCATCACTTGCCACTTCATGCCTCAGGGTCTTTGTACAAGCTGTTCCCTCTGCTGGAGATACCTTTCCCCACATCTCTCCACCAGGGAGGACCTCACCTCCTCCTTGCGGCCATCACTGACTCTTAGAGTTACCTGTCCTCCTCTGTGGCTCATAACATCTGGTCCCATTGGGACAATGGTCCCCTGAGCTGGGATCCAATGATGATAAAAACAGCTCACGTTACGGAGCCCTTCCTACATGGCAAACACTGTTCTAAGTACTCTCCATGGGTTAGCCAAAGAAAACCTCACAACAACCCTTTAAGGTGATGCTGTTACTACCCCAGCTGACAGATGAGGAACTGAGGCCCGGGAAGAAGTTCCCATAACCTGCCCAAGGTCACGGGGCAGGTAAATGGCTGAGTGGGCACCCAAAACCAGTTCTCTGTCCCCCCTCGAATGAGCTGGCTGGGATGACCATTCGCATCTCTTCACCTCAGTATCTCCAGACCAAAGTTTCGCTAACAGGCGCAGCCCACAAACACGGTGAATCTAAGACAGCCTGTGCAGGAGGAAAGGAGAACCCACCAAAGGCCCAGGTTCGAGTGTCAGCATGGCATTAACCACAGGGACACTGTGGTCAACCTCCCTGGACCTCAGTTTCCTCATTTGTAAAACAAGAGGGATGGCCGAGATCTCTCTGCACTGATCAATATAGTAGACACTAGCCAAGTGTGGCTATTTAAATCTACATTTAAGCAAAGTGTAACAAAAGTAAAAATTCAGTTCCTCAGTCACACTAGCCACACTTTGAGAGTTCGATAGCCCCATGTGACCAGCTAGTGGCTACCATATAGAACAGCAGACATGGAATATTTACATCATGACAAAAAGTGCTATAGACAGCTCTTTGCTAGATTAGATGGCCCACCACAGCCCACCCACTGCTGAACCCCCAGACTCACAAATGATGCGGGCGGAGGGGGGCGGCTCTTTGGTGGCCTTCTTGGCAATCCTTCTGCTTGACCTGCGGACGGTGCTCTCCGGTTTGGTCACCAGGGAATACTTCTGGGCCAGAGAAACCTGGGGACCTGGGGAGGTTGGGCGGATCAGGCTGCGCCGCACTGACTGTGGGTCCCCATGGGAGCCCCTAGGCGTTGAGAAGTTATCCGGCAGGATGGGAGCCAGCACCCGCTCCCGCCAGGGGGAGGCTGGAGAGCCAGGTGAGTCCTGCGGGCCTGGGGAGGTCTGCGCAATCCGGAGCTTGGAGGCGGACCGGCCTGCTCCGACCCCTCGGCCCTTGGGGTCCTGGGGTGTAGCCATCAGGGAGCTCACGGTGACAGACTCCAGTCTCCCGGCCTCTGACTTCTTGGGTGTTGATTCCTTGTCCGATACCAAGGTGGTCTGGGAGGCCGGGGCTCTGGCTGGAGCGGGAGCTGGGGACGGAGCCCGGGCAGACTTGAGCTGGCTGAGGTGCTGCTCGGCACTGCGGCGCTCGCCAACGCCTATCTCTACCGTGGGCACCAGTTGGCACTGGGTGTCGCTATTTTTGGGCTTTCTGGTCAGTGTGGTGGGAGACTCCGGGGTGGGCAAAGCAGCACCCATGTTGGCTGCTGCAGCTGCGGCTGCAGCTCGGGTCACCCGCCGCGGGACAGAGCCCTTCTCCCCTGTCGCTGTGGCCAGCTGCTCCGCCTTGTCCTTGCTGCGCAGATGCCGGGAGCTCAGCTGGCTGCTCCGAGTCTTTCTGCGGGACAACCTGCCAAAGGCAGCAGAGCAGAAGCTGAGATGGCCCCGCAGAGAAGGCAGGCACCCCAAAATTCAAGTGGAGGCAACAGTCTCCCCAGGAGCCATCAGCTTAGGTGGAGTATAAAGCAGAGCTTGGAAGCAGAAGACCAGAGTTCCAGTCCAGGCTCTGCCACCCCAGCCATGAGATCCCAGGCTGCCTCTCTCTGAACCTCAGTCTACCTATCTATAAACTGGGGATAATGCCAGTCCTCACAGAACTGCTGGAAAGATTAAATTCATAGAAACCTCACTAACTGAGGTCACACTGTGCCAAGCACCCCACTAGAGGCTTTACTCATGTTCTTTAATCCACAAGGCCCTGAGAGCAGGGACCATTCTCATTTTAGACGTGAGAAAACCAAGGCTCAGAGAGGTGGAAAATTAACAAAAGGACATACAGCCACTAAAGGGCAAAGCCAGGATATGCGCCCAGGACCTCCTGACCCCGATGGCCCACGGTCATTTCCATGGGCATCATAACAAGCAGAGCACAGGGGGATGAGCAACAGATCCCCGATCCACAACTCTGGTCGCTCTCGCCCAAGCAGAAGGTTGGATTTTCTTTCTTCTCCCACCTTTGAAACCCTTCCTATCCTCTAAGGCCCAGGTCCAACACCACCGCCCTCTCCTGTCCCCTCAACACACAGACACGCTCTGGACTCTACGGTCTTGGGTCATGCTTCGTTTCCCCAGTGACACTTTGCCCCTCTGCATGGCCCACGTGGTGCCCACTGCCACTCCTGCAGGCCTCTGCTTCCAATTAACACCTGGGAATCAAACTCTTCCGGTGAGCACCAAGCCTCCAGAGCCAGCCTGCCCAGTTGCCCCCCACCGCTGCCCCCCACACCAGCGGCAGCCCCTAGTCCCTCCTACCTTTTCCGGATTGGGTCTCTGTTTTCATCCTGAGCATAAGAAATCCGTCTCTTCTTCTGCCGGTTCTTCTGAGAAGGCGTTTTGGGCATCAGCTCAGGCTCTTTGCTGAACTCTCTGTTTGGTACAAGGAGGGTGATGTTTGTGGCTGCCTGGGAACCACTGGCCTCCTCCCCCAGCCAACCCAGCTCCCGCCCGTTTCCTGACAGTGACAGGTCAAGTTGGTGCGGCCAGCACCAAGAGAGCTCTCCAGGGCCATGTGCAAGTCAGTCCTGCCAGGCACTCGGGGCTTCCTCCCAGAGAAATGGCAGGGGAACCAGGTTGCTAGGCAACCATGTGTAGCCCCATCCTCTGAGGCCCAGCCCAAAACTTCTCCTTCCTCCTCCCATTATACTACGTTGGGCCCCTGGCACACTGGGCACTCAGAAGAGACGCCTGGCAGCCTGTCTGTCTTGCCTGTCAGGTGGGGAAGTAGACTGCTGTGTCCCCAAAGGCCAGAGCAGCCGGGCGGTCCCCGGCGTCTCCTGCTCTCACCTGGTGAACATGCGATCGGCCTCTTTCTCAATCTCCTCGAGCCACACGAAGTCCTTATTGTCCACATTGCAGATAAACTCCTTGAGCTTCTGGTCACACAGCTCCAGCAGGTGAATAGGCCCTGGGGCTGTTGTCCCCATGGTGGCTCTGTCTAGTGAAAGCAGGGACAAGAGGGACAAGGCTTCAGGGCTAGGGACTGGAACCTTCTCCAGGGGAAGAGCCTGCCAGGCCACAGCACCCATCCCGTGATCACCACAAAACACCCAGGGCCTGAATCAGGGCCATCCCTGTTCATAGCCACTCCCCAGAGATGCAGAGTTCCAAATGTCAATCCATGAGCCTCATTTTTGCAAAAAGAAGGGTCCACCCTTCTACTCACACGCTTCAAATGCCTTCCCTGTACCCACCCACAGCACGCTGTCCCCGTAAGTTCACACTTCCCACCCAATTCTGGCATCAACAGTCCTTACAAATGGCCTTTTCTGGGGCTTAAAATGACAAGGCATGGCCAACTGCCTTCCAGGATCAGGGGGAAACTGTGGCCACTACAGGACCCCTCTTGCCCTGCCCAAACACAGCCCTGCTCTTCTTCTCCTGAGGGTGAGCGAGGACTTACACACAGCTACCCTGAGCTACACACAGCTGACCCCGGGCCTCAGGCCACAGAACATCGAATTCTAACTGCCTCTTCAAGAGGCCAGTGAACAGAAGGGGTTCTGCGTTCCAAAGGAGTCAGTACGAAAGTAGAGGAGACATGCTCCTCTCCAAGGGGACCCCACAACCCTCTCCCTTGAGCTGAAATGCCCTAGAAACGATGAGTGAATGTGAGGGGAGCGGATAAGCAATGTCTCAGTTTTAAGAAAACTCGTCTAGAAATACTGGGTAAATACAAAACCAGTTTTCTCTTCATTTCTTAAAAAACTAGCAGCTCAGGTATCCTCCCTTAAGACTCGGTTATAATATCATCTCCAAAGCCTCAGGCAAGGAAGAAGCGTTCCATTACAGCCATAGCAGGGGCTCAGTTAATATTCCAACTGGGTGAATGAATGAAAGAACAAGTGAATGGGTGAAGGTCATAATCCATAACAGACTGCACGTCTCATGCCATGGCAGTGACCTGCCACCCCAATCTTCTAAACCAAGAACCACACAAAGTTCAGCCTCCCACCAATGATGGGAGCTCCTGGAAAGAAAGGCTACGTCGCCCCTGAACACGCGATAGAGCTTAATAGCAGGTCATGACGCAGCCTCATGAGGCTTCCTGGGATCTGACTTCCAGGGCTCACAGCTTTTGTTCCTTGAACAAGCTCTGCCCTGTCTGAAACTTTGTCTCCTGTTTCGCACAGCTCACTCCTTATCACTTGGATCTCAGGAAGTCAGGGAGGGCCTGACCACCAACCATGACCCATCCATCAGTTCTAATTCTCTGTATGGCACTTGGGTGATTGCATATCTGTTTGCTTACTGCCTGCTTCTGCCCACTAAAGATTTGCTCCGAGGCAAGCCTTTGCCTGTCTTGCTTCTAGCTGCAAACCCAGAGCCCAGCACAGTACCTGGCATGAAAGAAATACTTGTTGAATGAATTAATCCACCTATTAACTCTACACTAGAAATAAGCATCCTACAGATACTACACACACACACACACACACACACACACACACACACACACACACAGGGATACTAATAAGTTCATGCTACACAAGTTAGGGCATGCCATACATATTCTGCTCCTAGATGCCAAGAGTAATCGGGGCATGACTAAGGGGCAGGATTGCAGGGGCTTTGGACAGAGACAGCTCTGCAGCCAGCCAGCAGCTCATGGGCATGCCTCTGGCTCCCTCCAGCTCCTCTGCCCCAGACCTCAGCCCTGGCAAAGTGCAGGACCCCAGTTCGAGGCCAGGAAAGAGAAAATTGGTTCAGGAAGCCAAAACCAAAACAAAGGTTCGCAGTCGAGCTACAGAAAGAAATTTCTTTTTTTTCTTTTTTTTATTTAGTATTTCTTCAAAATGGCAAAGTGAGTGAGAGCTTCTTTCACAAAGTGCAAAAGAAGTATTTGGGCTTCTTCCACAAGGCAGTTTGTTTTTAGCAGACCTCAGCTTTAAAACGGGTCACCATAAGTTAGGACAAAGGTGACCCTGAGAAAACAGCAATCAGTGTACCAAGACTGAAGCTTCTTGGAGGAGCAGCAAAAATCTCTTGGGCCCATATAAGAACCTGTGCAAACCCAGAGCACCCAACATCCCGCCGAGAGGGGAGCTCATTTGTCTCTTCCAATACTTCCCTCACAGTGCACATCAGACGACAGGCCCCACTGCCATTTTTGGCAACACCTGTTCTCTTAAGGGTGCAGGAAGTTGGACACCTAACCCTCTACCAGACCTCAGTGAAGAACGGTCATAATAGCCGCTCCCATTTACAGAGTCCTACTCCATGCCCAGGTCGGGCATCATCCCATTTCATTCTCACCACAAACTCAAAGATACCCACGTGCAGATGAGGAAACGGAGGCAAAGAGAAGTTAACTCAAAGTCACCCTGGGGCCTAGGTTTAAACTGTGCTCTTAACCACAAGCTATGCTGCCTACACGATTTCAGCCTCTGCAAGGCAGGTGCCAAGTTTTGGCTCTGGGCACCCCCAGAGAAGGCCAGAGTGGCTGAATAGAACTGAACCGCTGTCAGAGAATTGCTTGAGGAGTGACAGGACAAGGAGGGACGCAAATGGTCAGTTTAAAACGCTGCTCAGCTGGCGGGGGAGGTGTTGAGCGAGGGTTAACCGCACAGAAATGCCATCTGGCATAATTCTATCACACAACACGGTCCGTGTGCGCTTTCTGCGAGTCCAGGTCCACAAAAGGCCTCCTAGGCACAAAGGTGCTAGGCACCGGGAAGGGACGGGATTCTTCTCTCGGGACCTGGTGACCTAAGTGGAAGGTCATTTTAGGCTCCAGGGCCAAGGCTGGTGACCTCGCCTCGTGGAAGAGGTGACCTGTCAATTCCCAGGCCGGAGGGAGGGGGGGCGGGGAGAAGCGTCGCGCCCATGGTCCGGGGCTGTCGGGAGCTGTAACAAGTCACCAACCATCCCCCCACCCCCGCCGGCCGCCCGAGCGCACTCACTCGACCGCACCGCGTCTCCTAAGTGCTGCTCTGATCCAAGTCCGGCGGCCTCCCAGCAGACCCCCCCGCCCACCCAGATCCTCAGCTCCCGAACTCCGAGACTCACGGCTCCTGGGGAGCAATGGGGCCTTGCAGCGCGGGTGAAACCTACGATTTTCAAAACTGAAGGCTTGACCAATCCCCGGCAAGTTTGTCTGGGCGGCTGCAAAACTCTAAACCAATCAGGTAAAAGAAATCTCTAATCAGGCCACTTATTGGTTACTTGAATTGGCAGTCTGCGGGAATAAGAGGCGGGGAAAGGAAGCGTTGAAACTTTAACCTGCTCAGCTTCCGGGAGCCGCAGCCAGCGGCCTGGACAGGATGTCGCGGGTGGTTGGGGGGGGTGCGCGCGCGCGTACGCGCAGGCGCAGGTCCTCGCACGCCGGAACTACAAGCCCCAGCGTGCATTAAGAAGGCCCCGCGGGGCGTGGGAGGTGCGTCCTTGGGGTGGAAATTGTAGACTCCGAAAGCACAGTCTTCCAGGGAGTCTTCATCTTTGCTGTTACTCCATCCCCCTTTGTCCTCCTTACGGATGACATCCTTCCGACGTCTGCCACTTTTGGAAAGTAAAAAGAAAACACTTTGTAAGTCGCGCCGGAGTTTGTATTTTAGTAGAACCCTACCTCATCTCTTGGGCGGCCCCAGCCAGGATCCCGGCTATACTGACCCCGAGTGTTTCTTTGGAGCGGCGATTTTGCGCCCCATCCGTACCCCATATTTGGTAATGTATGAATACGTTTTGTTGGGGGGTGGGGTGCTGTTGGCGTCTTGTGGGTAGAGGCCAGCCGTGCTGCGGAAAATCCTGCAATGCACAGAACACTTAACCACAGCAAAGAATTATCAGGCCCAGAATGCCAGTATCACTTTTGTTGAGAAACCCTGCTTCAGGCAGTCACTTTATTCTGTGAGTCAAGGTTGCCATCACGTGTAAAAAGCAGTTAAATCTTGAAGAGGTATCTGCACACCCATGCCCATTGCAGCACTATTCATAATACACAAAAGGTGGAAGCAACCTAAATGCCCCTCAGTAGATGAATAAATAAAAAGTCCTTTGCCCATTTTTTGTGTCATGTTATTTGGTTAGTTTTTGTTTTGGGGTTGTAGGAGTTTTTTGGTTTTTTGTTTTTTAATCTATTTTGGATTTTAACCCCTTAGCAGATATATGGTTTGCAAATATTTTCTCCTATTCTGTAGATTGTCTTTTAATTCTGTTGATTCTTTCCTTTCCTGTGCAGATGTTTTAAAGTTGGATAGCCCCATTTGTCTATTTTTTATCTTGTTATCTGGTGTCATATTCAAGAAACCATTGCTAAGACCTTTGTCAAGGAGCTTTTCCCTTTTAGTTTCAGGTCTTATATTTAAGCCTTTAATCTATTTTGAATTAATTTTTGTGAGTGGTGTAAGACAGAAGTCCAGTTTCATTCTTTTGCATGTGGATATCGAGTTTCCCCAACACCACCTACTGAACAGACTATCTGTTCCCCACTGCGTATTCTTGGTGCCCTCATCAAAGATTAGTTGATTGTATATTTCTGGGCTCTCTCTCTGTTCCATTGGTTTGTGTGCCTGTTTTATTGCCAATACCATATTTCTTTATTAGTAGGGCCTTGAAATCTATTTTGAAATCAGAACATGTGATGCCTCCAGCTTTGTTGTTTTTGCACAAGTTTGCTTTGGCTATTTGGGGTCTTTTGAAGTTCCAGATGAATTTTAGCATTGTTTTCTATTTCTGTAGAGAATGCCATTGGGATTTTGGTAGGGATTGCATTAAATCTGTAGATCACTTTGGGTAATGTAGACATTTTAACAATATTAAGTTTTCCAATCCATGAGCACAGGATGTCTTTCCATTTATTGGGTTGTCGGAAAAGTCATGATGCATGTTTGCAACAAATGGCACTAGTTCATTTTTGGAAGTATTAGAGTCATTCACATCTATGTTCTTGTATGTCATTTGACAGCTGACAGTTCTAGTTTCATTCTAAAAAAAAATTGAGCGATTTGGTTGAGTTTTGGAGATTTTACAATAAGTTGAAGATGGGAGACCAAACTGTGCATTTTTGCCATATTTTACTGTTTTACTTCCATAAAGGGAAGAATGCACGTCAAGCTTGTGAAAAGTTGAATAAAGTTTATGGTGACAATGCTCTACAAGAACGTCAGTGCCAACGATGGTTCACGAAATTCCGTGCTGGTTATTTGGATCTCAATGATGCTCCTCAGTCAGGGAGGCCTGCCAAGGTTGATGACAACAAAATAAAGGCACTGATCGAGTCCATTCCATGTTAAACGATGGGAGAGATTGCAGAAATGTTGAACATCCATCGTTCAAGCATTGACGACCACCTGAAGAAGCTGGGATACATAAGCAAGCTCGATATTTGGGTTCCGCATGAACTCAAAGTTCATTTGACAGCATGTATAAACATCTGCAATATGCTCGTTAAACGTGAGGAAAACGATCCTTTTTTGAAGCGACTAATAACTGGTGATGAGAAGTGGATTGTTTACAACAATGTGGTGCGCAAACAGTCTTGGTCCCGACGTGATGATTCACCTCAAACAACATCAAAAGCAGACATTCATCAGAGGAAGGTTATGCTCTCAGTGTGGTGGGATTTTAAAGGTGTTGTGTTTTTTGAGCTCCTAGCAAGGAACCAAACAATCAATTCGAATGTTTACTGTCGGCAATTGGACAGTTTGAATGAATCCATCATCCAGAAACGTCCAGAGCTTGTTAATTGTAAAGGAGTTGTGTTCCATCTCTACAACACGAGACCACACACAAGTTTGATCACCCATCAGAAATGATTGGAGCTTGGATGGGATGTGTTGCCACACCCACCATACTCACCTGACCTTGCGCCGTCAGACTTCCACTTGTTTCGCTCTCTTCAGAACTCCTTGCGTGGTATAACATTCAATTGAAATGAGGCTGTAAATCAGCACCTTGTTCAGTTTTTCGCAAATAAATACGGGTCCTTCTATGAACGAGGTATTATGATGCTCACTGAAAGATGGCAAAAGGTTATTGAACAAAACAAGCAGTATATCTTTGATTGATCTTTGTTCTTTATATAAATAAATGACCTTTGAAAAACACAGACAAAATACTACGTCATGATTTTTCCGACAACCCAATAGTTCTAACAGTTTTCTTTTTAATCTCTAGGGTTTCCTACATATATTGTCATGTCATCTACAGAGATAAAATTACTCCTTTCTGATTTGGATGGGAGGGTTTTTTGTTGTTGCTTTTCATTTGTTGGTTTGCTTTTGTCTAATTGCTCAGGATAGGACTTCCAATACTATGTTGAAAAGGAGTGGCAAGAATGGGCATCCATGCCTTGTACTGAATCCTGGAGGGAAAGTTTTCAGTTTTTTCCCATTGATTATGATGTCAGCTATGGGATTTTCACATACGGTCTTTATTTTTTCTTTCATTTGAATATATCATACCGTTCTCCCCTAGCTTGCAAGGTTTCTGCTGAGAAATCTGATAGTTTTATGGGTGTTCCCTTGTATGTGATGTCACTTTTCTCTTGCTGCTCTCAAAATTCTCTTTTGTCCTTGACTTTTTACAATGATTATAATGTATCATTTTTTTTTTTAGTTAAAGGAAAAAAGTTATTTATAATTCTATAAAAACCAGAGCTATAGAATATAAAATGTCATAAAGTCAGGTGGAGTGCATAAGGCATTTTCATGTCTTTTCCTTAGGAGAAGGGAATTATACGGAAACTTCTCATTTCCCCCTGCATTCCTCCATGTCCAAAGTTGAAGGCAGGTTATACCCATCCCATCGTCTGAGCAGAAAAACCACATGTGACACCTTTCTTCCAGTCTAGCAGCCCAGAAAACCAAATCTCAAGAGCTATACAGGACTCCACAAAAAAGAATGAAGTAATTGGTAATATAGCAGCCTCTCATCCTACAGAGGTGAATAGGGTTCCATCACTCAAAACTTTTACCAACCTTTCACTAAACCCAAGCATGCATTCATAGGGCTAGCATCTACATAGTGTAATCCTTAGAAGAACAAAAAAAAAAAAAAAACATTTTAAAACACCAAATGTCCAAAGACTTCTGAGAAAGAACAACAGTTTCTTTTTCTAGGAGAAGAATCCCTCTTCTCATTCAAAAATGTGTATTTACACATGTAGAAATATGTATTTATACAGAGATTGTGATGGTTTATTCACATATGAAATTAGTCTTGCAATATTTTGTCTTTATGCTTCTTTATCACATCAAAGGTTTTACTGCTAAATTGGACCTTTGTTCTTATCCAGTTAATCTGCCACAGGATGAGCCAGGATTTAGATACATGTGTAATTTTTCAGCATCTCTTTCATTTCAAATTTCAACACATATTTGGAATTTGCTACTGCAGTCTCAACTGTGCTTATCATTATAGTGGCTGAAACTGGAAGACAAGAAAATCCCCTAATGTCATCCATGCTAGCTATTTCTATATAAGCCTTCTTGTTGGGAACAAAAGGTAAAGAATTCACAAATACCACCATCTAAGCACCTGTTTCAAATTAAACATCAGCCTTCAGTTTGCAAGATAATTTCTTTACAATTAAATAGCAGAAGGCACATGTCAGATGCTTATTTTTTCCTGGATGACTGCGCCCTAGGAACTTCTCTGAGTTGAATTTGAGAGGTGGAAAAAAAAGAAAGGCAGCCTTTTCCAATCCAAAACATGGAGGTAAAGTGTAGAGAAGAGATGTCCATATTTCAAGATTAGAGAAAGTGGCCGGATAAACAAAGCAGGACTACCCACTCCAGGAGACGACACAGAAATACTTACCAAATCCTGAGTTCAGAGGTTTGGTTTTTCTTCAAGATGAATACAAAGTATCTAAAAGTCAAGGAACATGTTCTTCCTCACACAAGCCAGCAGAAGCACTTGACTGCCCGGGGGCCACCCCACCCCTGGCCCAAAGGCTGGTATGCCAAGGAATGCCATGCTCCTTCCCAAGTCCTATAATGTATCTTGATGTAGTCTTTTTTGATTGATCCTACTTAGGATTTTTTGAGCTTCATGAATTTGGATGTTCATTTCCTTACCAAGATTTGGGATGATTTAAGCCATTATTTCTTTATTGGGTTGTCGGAAAAGTCATGACATATTTTTCTATGGTTTTCGTTGCAAAAATGCGTCATGACTTTTTCAACAACCCAATAAATAAGCTTTCAGCCCCTTTCTATCTCTACTCCCTGAGACTCCCATAATGCATACGTTGGTTCTTTTAGTGATGTTGCATAAATACCATGGATTTTCTTCCCTCTTTTTCACTTTTTCTTCTTTTTTCTCCTGTGACTGGATAATTTCAAATAACTTGTCTTCAAGTTAGCAGATTCTTTCTTTGCTTGATTGAGTCTTCTGTTAAAGCTATTTTTTGCACATTTCATTTCATTTATTGTATTCATCAGCTCCAGAATTTCTGTTTAGTTCATATTTATGATTTAATAAATTGAATATTTTAAGAAAACAGTCACTCCTGAGTCACCTTTTTGATGCATAAAGGCCACCCTCAAGGGCACCATAAAATTTTTAAGATGGATTGTACAGACTACCAGCACAATGTCATCACCAGCTTTAATCTCACTTTGCACTGCTGCTTGACACACTACAAATCACAGTGATGCATTATAACTCAGCATCATTTCAAGTACCACACATATAATTGTACTACATTTTTAAAGAATTACCAATGCATACCCTTCATGCCAAAACAAGAAAAGTGGATTTAGAATGTTGTGCTTTTAAGGCACAGCAAAATATGAATTATTTTGTTATTCAATTAGATGACAAAGCATTGTGTTTATTATGTAATGATAGTAAGCTGTGCTAAAAGAGTACAGTACACATCAGCATTATTTCAGCACTCATCATAATATTCCCAGTGATTGGAATGAATATTCCCAATGATCGGCAATGATTAGAAAAGTAGAAAATTTAAAGCATTATATCTCATCACCGCAGAATTTTTTCACAAAACTAAAAAA